AAGCTGCCGAAAAAAGGCACCGCAAAAATGCCTTTTTTGGCCGATATTGCTACGAAACCCTCTTTCCTCGCCTCCCTTCCCCGCTCCCCCTTGGTCATCTGGCAGATTTTGGACTTACAGAAAAATATTTACCTTGCATTGGTTCAACTATACCCCGATAATATTTCATGCATTTCTCGCTTCGAAGAAATCTTCGCGATATTTCTCCGTGCATCAGAAGATTTTGCAGATCACTGACCAGCGTCCAGTAGGATGCTTTTCGTAACGGTTGACCCATTTCCATGGAATAAACAAGCCAATTGAAGAGTTCTCCATTCGTTGTTGCAGGAGGAGTATTTTCATAGAAATGATCGGGAACTACAAATAATAATAAAAATGAAGTTAAAACTGTCTTTCTGGTTCCTTGCCCTCTAATTTAGCCACTCACCTTAATTTAACGTGAATTGCGCTCTATATAAGCATGTGCGATAGCTGAATTTGAAATCTTTAGCTCATACATGCGCAGAGAATATACGTGCGAAGTTTCGAATTTCTGTTTTGCCTAGATCACGAAATCGTTTCACGAACTGTGTTCTTCTTCCCTGCTCTTTCCCTGATAACCAGTTTAGGGATTCAATGCTAATAATTTTACTGGCATGTACTTGCAAAAAAAAAAATATAGTTCTGTCGTATCCTTAGACGTTCAAAAAAGGCCTTACAGAATTTTCTGCTTTATTTGTGAAAAATCAAAGTGAAAAAAGTTTACCCAGTGTAATTGTGGATTTTTGAAGGCCAAGCCTCAAAGTACCGTAGCTGCTTGAAATAATCTTGTATTTTAGATCAATTTCTTCATCAAGTTTAACACATTGTGCTTCACTTGATAGTATCTGAAAATTTTAAATAAAAATATTCTTATTTTCGATAACTTCAAGACGCTGACACAACCTAAAAAACCTCGAAAACTTCCGTAACGGCTCTTACCACATACCTCTTTCTATAAAAGATCTTCTCCAGTTACTCTGACCAATGCTGCTTTAGTTAGTACTCAGCCTGTTGGTGATTCTAGGATCCGCATCGTCTCTCGAAAAGGATTATCAGGATTATCAACAGTCCCCCAAACAGAAACATTTGGCAAGGATTTAACCCCTCCAAGATGGATAAAGTGAAAAAATTTTTTGAGCAAACATATCCTGGAAAAATTATGGCATTTTCAACTTTTACTTTTTAATTCTATTTTTTAAAAATATCCTTGATATACTGAAAAAAAAAATCATCCCTTCTGAATGTTA